TCGATCGCGCTATCAATAAAAAAGCTGTATGTGTACAAATTTCTTCATTGCATGATATTGATTTCAAATCCGAACTGTTCCGAATGTGACTGATGAACCGAACTTTATTTTTCCGCATTATTAAATTAGTCATAGTGACATCATACTACATCATACTGACCTAAACATTTCCTGCCATATCGGAAAGTGACATAGCACTTCTGTCAATATCAACTTCGGAGGCCCCAATCATAACGGGATTGTCCGTGGCATACGATGCCCAATATTGCCCATATTTGTTGCATGAGGAGAAAAAGCCGATGGTCAGATTCTTTCCCCCCTTGGCATTGAAGTCAACTCTATTTCAAAATCGATAGTTCTAATTTGATGAATGTAAAATATTGGATTTAATGCCTATAACTTTCCCGACATATTGCTGTTTATATCAACGAGGACGCTCCTCAATAGGATGGTATTTATTTATAAAAAGATTCTTTTGTGTATTCAAGACGAACGAGACATATTTGGTAAGCTTTCTGACAGGTGCGCCGTACAGCGATTCAAAATTGCAAGTCTTGCAAAAAAACAACCTCTTGTTTTCAACCGAATAACCTGATCCTCTTCAAATGAACTGCGAAATGAGTTTCGTTATTAAAAAAAAAGTTTCCCTGGCCTTGCCAATAAGAAAATATTTATTGAAAATTTTGGAAACTTGTACATTAGTGTGGAAAGCTGCCGAATGACTTTCATGCGTAATATGTGTGGAAAAGGAGTGATAAATTTCACTGAAAACTTTTTCCTGATCACAGAGCGATTTCAACAACAGAGCAGCGCTCACTGAGAGCCGCAACAATGTTTTCTCAAACCAAGTAGACGAATTTCGAGGCAGACTGGAATAAATTCCGAGCCCAGAAGGATTTTCTTGTCTGTTTTCCCAGCTGGCGAATCTCTTCTCGACGCCAAACTTCTACGTTCGTTCGACCAGAAAACGAGCTCCTGAATTTTGCGAAATTATGTCTCCCTGAAGCAACATGACTGTTAGAGTCACGTAAGCCAGACCCAGCCTATTTGGAAGGCAGTCTAGCAGAAATTATATCATCTGAGATTGTAAAGGAACGCGCCAAGGTTCGTTAATCATTTGCAAGCTTAGAATAGCCAAACATTAATTTATAATGCGTTAAATTAAACAGCAATCCAGTCAAAAAGTCAAATGGAACACTTGTTTCATGCAAGCTTTCACGATACCAATTGAAAGCAAGGCCATTAAATATCAAATTAGTTTGCGTTTTCTCATTTTAGTCTATAGACGTGTACGATTGCAAACTTTTGTATCTCTATAGGGTTGATGATCGATGGAAGTATTTCCAAACGTTTTCAGTAAAAATATTATGAATTTCACTATCATTTTTAATTAAATTTGCTACGTTCGTGATTTAATTAGTCATGTGATTTCGCTACACCGTCTCAGTAGGATATAGTACTCGTTTCAATTTGCAAACCAGGCAATGTAGTTTCTTGCGATAACTTATGTATTCTCATGGCGGCAAAAGGTTAACCAGATGTTAATTCGAATGTTTATAATATCATGATGCTAACTTAGACATTTGATCGAAGGTGAATATTTTAAAGTTTATCCAATGATTCTTTCTAAAGTTTAGGAACTCACAAAGCCGGTGTGTTGAATAGGAAAATAAATTTGTACAGATAAATTGCAGGGAAGCAATTATCGAAAATTATAAAATAAGTTATAATCAAATTGTTAATTTCTTCAAATGTTTTCGTTTCAGAAATTCATCATCTTCTTGCGTGTAACAAGGAAGAAGTTTGCAATTTAGAGCAGCGGCCCGTGATACAAATCTTCGTATTTTGGCGAGCAAGAAAATAGCATCGGCGATGGACGTGTTCCAGAAAAATTGATAAACAACAAAGCCTGGGGCCAAACTTTCCTTCGCCAAACTTGCCTCATCAACTTACATGAAGGCTATGATCAGCGAGCTCTGCAAATGATAGACCTGATCGAGAACTAAATCCGTAGTAAAATCTATATCATAAATTCAAATAAAAAGCTGTTCTTCGATAGTTTCGAATGGGCCTTTTAACATTATGGGTATGGTTATGGCTGACCGAGGTTTGGAAAACTTTCTGCCACGCGTTTTTCCCAGAAGTGCATAGTTCGAGCAAAAGATCTAGTACAGGATTTGTATAAACCTGGGCCTGCATATGCATATTTTGATATTGACTAACAGACTTCGGGGGCTGTGGTCACAGATGCCTCGAAAGTTATGCACGAGCTCCTTTAATTGCCTTCACCAGTAAGGCTCTCACCGAATGCTCCTTTGCGTTTTGCCCGTCCAACCAAATTTCTTGAGGTTATAGCAAAGAGCTCGATTTGATCAATATTTGGTTCCTAAGTTCCTGAAATCGCGAGTTCGAGCTGATGGCAATATAACAAGCCTAAAGCGGTAGGCGGGTGAGTGACGACAATGGAGAACGACTCAAATTCATGTGAAACCAATGCTACGATGATCATCATCTTTATTGCATGGTCGTTTCTCCACTATTGTTTTCATGTGAAATCGAAGGTTGAGATTTCATTATATTTATAAATTTGTAGCTAGCGTGGAGCATGTCTCGGTTAACCTTCCACCGCATCTCTACCTTCTTCTATTCATCTTCTTCAATTAATCTTTTATATCACCTTTCAGCGTACGCGCACAAACGACATGTGTTGGTTGTAATTTGGAAACCATCTCATGAACGCATCGGGAATAAGATAGGAAGGCGTTTACCTTGTGTTTATCTCGTTACCTGATGTTCGATATTCCTTAATTTCCTCTATATCGTAGAGCGGTGTTGATAGATTAAGTAGTTACTATTAAATTATCGGTAATATCATCAATTTTTCATTCATTAAATGTATCACAGCGTGTAGCTGCTCCTTGTGCAATACATGAGAGTTAACGGCCTGACATTTAGGGAAAAATGGACTACAGATTGTAAAATAGGGCTTATCCCGCAACAGCGTAGACATAATTGATAACCAAAATAACCAAAGAGAAAGACACGCGCTGATGTGATGCAAGTATACGTTGTCGGCAATTCAAAGGGTACTATCTGCTAATGGTGCGCAATAATAATTTCAGTGTAAAAAAAATAGTTACACACCGAGTCGTTTTAGAAAAGTTTGCTGCTCATATGCTATACAACGTGACGTTTTTACATGCAGTCTGTTGTGGTAATTTTTAGAGACAAATTGCATAAACAATTTATCAATTCAAAATGAGTACTATCATCAAGTACGAAAGAAAGGACGATTTTAATTATTTATACTTGACTAAAAATGAGAATTTGTTAGTATGGGTATAATAGGTAGCTGTTCTGGACTTTCTATGGCCTGCGTATTAGTTCAATGCTCAACATGTACAGAAATCATTGTTGCAGCACATATTCTTTGAATCGAACTAGAAATTCTCAGTTCAGTTCATGTCCTCGTTCTACTCTCAGAATCGTTTTGTCTATTTAAATGGGTTTCAAAATTCATTGGTGAATAGCAATACCATTATACCAATACCCCATGGCCGAGCACTTTAGGGCTCTAAGGCTATAATTGGATTGTGCCGGAGAAACTTCAAGTGAGTGAAAAGTATCACTGGTATAGTTGTACGATGGTACAATGGTACTCTGGCATGGTTGTACGCTGGTACCAACTGTCAGCAAAGCTGACCGATCGTCAACCATCTTGTACTATTGCAATAATTAGACGACATCTCATGTTAGAATATTGGCTACGATTTTTTAATAATATTTGCGAACCACGAAATTTAACATACTTTAATTGTTTAATCTGGGATGGAATTTATGGCATAAATTGGAGATTGATTAAAATGGAATGTACCATAGACTGAGATTAGTATGCAAAGTTTGTAGAATATATTTTTGAGCCGCAATTATTTATTGTTTTACTTTTTCAAAAACCTAAACAACTTATGGCGATATTGGTTATATGGATGAACAATGCCCATCTATTTACATGATCAACCAGTAATGATTAGTTGAAGTAATTAATGCAGAGATGAAGGCGACGGGTTTAGTTCATAGAACATCGTGGCTTGGGCGATGTTTTGCCTAAAATGCTATGAATCTTAAATCTACTCAGAAATAAGATAGTAGACTCTAATTTTTCTTCGAATTTTATTAAATCTATAACGAGTCAGAAGGTCAATGCGGCGACATAGGTTTTTCCAAATCACTTTGAATCACCCTGGCCACCTGATTGACTATATAGTATAGTTGACTATAGTCACTTCATTTCGTATAAGATACGATGTTTTAATCATATCATTTTTTATTGTTCATGCAGGCTCCCTGTCCTTCATTTGCTAAATTACATCCCCGCCGTATATATACATTTATAGGATTATTCATGCAACTAACGCGGCATTCATTCAAGTAATTAAAGTTGCCAACTTCGGCTATGTGCAACCGCCATTATTTATTGGTTTTTATTGAGGCAGACAGCAGCCAATAACATATCGACATGCCATCGCGATGGCTCAGGTGTCATTTGAAGATGACGAGAAATATTTGGGGAGCAGCTTCGGTGCGACGCGAAATCGATAGCTTCTTACAAGGGCGGCTGGAACTATAACTTTATTTGTAATGACATCCAATATCCTGGCGCTCATGACCAATGCGCTCAGAAGGCCGCACTTGGACTTCACAAACTCAGAATAAGTAAGACAATGATACATTATGAAATAAAAATATATTTTTAATTGATTTCTAATCAATAATTAGAGTGTTGCCTATAACCACGATAGTAACAGTAACTATTTCTGCTGGAATTTATCACATGGTGATGAATGGGTATTTATCAGAAGGTTACATGCCTTTTTCATCTGATTTTCGCCTGCTATATTTTTATGAAGCCTATGCGATTAAACTAAAACGCACTTTCTTTTATCATCATAGAGTTCATTTAACATCATATATTATGAGACGAAAATGAATGAGGTACTCACCGTTCACTTGCGAGATGAGTGATGACGCGGCACTCATGAGCTCAGGGTGCATGATGGGGCTGTACGTCTTCAGGATGAGGCGCAAAATGCGCAGAACTTCTGCCAGCTTCTCGTGCGCGCGCACGCGCAGACTCTCCCCCATCTCTGCGCGGTCTGCTCACGTACACCGCACAGGATCAGTCATTATGATCATCATGGTATAGAGGGCATTGTGATCAAGTTTAAAAAGCCTAAAACGTTGTATTAAAAATAAAAATGGATTCTTAACGATCCACATTTGTAATTCATCAACAATGTGACAGTATTTCATCAAAAATAACTACTCAAATTAACAATTTAAAAAGAACAATTTTAATCAACTTCAACATGGGTATTTTTCAGTTCTATAAATTTTAAATTACTCTCACTAAGTCCTCATGCGTGAACAATTAAAAGTCTGTCCTCAGTATCAATTTCCTCGGTATTGTAATTTGTAAAATCAACTTGGAAAAATCTTGCCTTGGATGTATATTGTACTCTGCGTAAAAATTAGTAATGCCCGAGAAATAATACAAAATCTTAACTCACCCCTGGAAAATTTTTCAGCCATAAATCAAACAAAGATTATGAACGTTGTTCAACGGAAGTGTAAAACTTCCCCGAAAATGGATTCTCAGCAAGCGGAGACACATTTTTTTTAGTTTTGCTCTCGAAGCTTCATCACTTCGATTGAACAGGTTTCTCTGAACACTTATTTCATAAAAGAAATAAATGAATCAGAATAAATATGTTTGCGCTTATTTGCCCTAACCAGTCGAGCAAGTGTTGGTTCTTGGGTTAAGCTTCTCTGTCAATTAATGTGTTACATCTCAGCTACAGATCATCAGTTGCTACAATCCTGTTAGGGTAACGTGGGGCAGCGCGCCCCCCACTTTTTTTAAACTAAATTTTTGATGAAACGCAAACATTTAGCAAAACGTAAATCCGTACACTTCATCACAGTGAAACTGTCGACCGGCGGTAGAGAACACGGACCAATATCTGCCATACTTAGCGAGAAACCCGCTATGGGCCCGTGACCCGCAGTGGGCTCGCTGCCCCATGTTACCCTATATCAGGACTGAAAGCCTGTCCATCGACATTTAAAATTAATCCTAATCCACAGCAAAGTTTGAGAATCAGAAATAGTGCTAGGAGGTTCCATGTTACAATAAGTTATTAACGAACAGACATCTCTGCACCGCTGAGTCCACCAGCTCTTGCTTATGTTAACTCATGGTCAATGCAACAAAACAATGAAACACAGTATTTATTATTTAGATTATTTTAGGAGCCGTCGATGTGAGCTGTAGAAAAATTTAATAATTAAATAAGCATTAAAAAGATGCTGTATCACTGTTGTATCATCAATTTCGTTCAGTTTTTTTAATCCCTGCAATTTACCGATCAACCTCTCGCTCGATATTTCAATTATTTCAGAGCTTATTCATACCATATATAATTATATATCATTCGAATGTTTAAAACTTCATTGTAGGGATTTTGTGGGTTCACTGCCTTAATATAGCGCCCTGTTTCTGTCAGAATGTGATAAGTTGTCTGGGAAAAATTAGTAATTGTAATGTAATTTGGGAATAATAGAATCATATCAAAGTTTTGGCATCTGAGAGATACTTCCTCACCCTTACCAGACTAACCTAAGCGAAGATAGGCTTCAAGCAGGCAATTAATGAGTGAATTAGAGATCGTTCACACGCCGGCATGAGATTACTTAAATAAAACCGGGATCATCAAAAAATACTAGAGCGGGCATATGATTGAGTGGAATCTTCGGAAGCCTCAATCAATATTGTAAAATGAATCGTTGAATTCTTTGTATAAGGAATCAAAAGTATGCTCAATAAAAAAGTATTCATAATTTCATAGGGAAAATTAGGAAATATCTCTTGACCAATATTGATAATCAATCTAAGTGTTGTTTCAGGCCTATTTTAAGCTGCGATTAATGAGAGCTTGATTTTTCACGCCGCCACACTTTTCCAAACGTTACTGATGTTCCATATGTAAATACGTGCATTCGGGACCCGTAGCGATGTAACCGGGAGCATGGGAAATGAGCATAGCCATGCTTACTTGTGGATATTTGTTAAGATTGCAACCTGCGCATATTCAGTAACTACACTGTTTCAGTATAATGATCTAGCACTGTTTTAGTATAATGATCTAGCACTGTTTTAGTATAATGATCTAGCACTGTTTTTGTATAATGATCTTCGATATATTACCAGTCTACTGCACTCTCTATTGTTTGCCGGATTTGCAATCTTGGTTCATCATGCGCACTGCGTCCAGGCACCAAGAATATCATCGCAATCCCCAATGTAATTACAGATGTCATGCAATCTCCCCCGTTCCGTTGTCACACCTTCATTTGAATGTATAAGCTGACTAGAAGATGTTGTCTCAACTTTGCTTGACTGAATAAACTGACTGCAAGACTTCGTCTCAATTCTGTCTGATTGTTTAGGCTGACTGGAAGACTTTTCTCACCTCTGCGTTATTGTTTAAGCTGACTGAAAGACTTTGTTTCACCTCTGCCTGATTGTTGAAGCTGACTGGAAGACTTAGTCTCACCTTTGTCTAATTTCCTAAGACGACTGGAAGACTTTGTTTCACCTCTGCCTGACTGATTAAGCTGACTTGAAGACTTAGTCTCACCTCTGTCTTATTGCTTAAAACGATTAGAAGACTTTGTTTAACCTCTGTCTGATTGTTTAAGCTGACTGGACGACTTAGTCTTACCTCTGTCTGATTGTTTAAGCTGACTGGAAGACTTAGTCTCACCTTTGTCTGATTGCTTAAAACGACTGGAAGACTTAGTCTCATCTTTGTCTGATTGCTTAAGACGACTGGAAGACTTTGTTTAACCTCTGTCTGATTGCTTAAGCAGGCTGTAAGACTTAGTCTCACCTCTGCCTGGTTGTTTAAGCTGACTGTAAGACTTAGTCTCACCTTTGTCTGATTGCTTAAGACGTCTGGAAGACTTTGTTTCACCTCTGCCTGATTGTTTAAGCTGACTGGAAGACTTAGTCTCACCTTTGTCTGATTGCTTAAGACGACTGGAAGACTTTGTTTCACCTCTGTCCGATTGTTTAAGCTGACTGGAAGACTAAGTCTCACCTTTGTCTGATGGCTTAAGACGACTGGAAGACTTTGTTTCACCTCTGTCTAATTGTTCAAGCTGACTGGAAGACTTAGTCTCACCTCTGTCTGACTGAATGAGCTTCCTGAGCTTGCCCAGAGCATCTTTAAAGCTCCTGACGGTGGTGGAGAGCGCCACTATATCCTCTTGCTCCACAAGGTGGCTTTCTGTGCTGCCTTCAGATGAGATGGATGCCAATGAGAGCGAGCGAGTGTTTGCTTCCATGCTGTTCATTAAAGCTTGCTGTTGCTGACGCTGTTGTTGGTGAGCGTGCTGCTCATGCTGCTGATGTGGCTGTAGATGATGGGCGACTCCATGATAGCAGCTATACTGGTCACCCCCACTGCCACCTGCAACAGACCACTAGATGAATAGCCCGTTCAGTCATTCGTAAAAAAAAGTAAAATACATCTTTTATTACATGTTTGATGGTTTCTACAGAACAGATGGTATACAGATGGTTTCGAGAACTCTTCACACTGCATAAATTGCGTTCAATGAGAATTCTGTTTCTGTTTGCTGATGATAATGATAATAGCCTGGGGACTTTATAGCTATGATTCCCTTGGCTGTTCCGCTTCTGTATGACCCTTTTGTTCCTCACACGATAAAAATGTGACGGGTGATCGAACCCGATTTTAATTGTTTTCAGCTATTCAAATTACGTAATGTTCTCATTTATAAATAGTTACGGCCTTGGAGCTCGCTTTGAAGTCACTATTGCACCATATTAATTAATCCACCCGTGTTACAAAATATTTCATAGACTATCATCTATGATTAAAAAATCAATATTCTATATAAAATTCAATGGAGCTCGTGAGTGATGCGTCAATTTCCCACTGACATCCATGGACGTGAATGCGGTACAATCACGTTTAGTTCCAATACGTGACCAAAATTTCCAATAGTGACTAAAATTAATATTTAATTTGGCCACTTCTTTAAAATCTTTAGCACGATCTACTGCAGGACGATCGATCAGCAAACATCATCACGCCAGACGATATAAAAATACACGTGTTAATCAACTGGTACCATTTCAATGAGGCTACAGTCTTGCAGCGCTCATCAAACTGTGCGACAGCGCGTCTGTCAGCGAACAAAACTAAAGCAAAAGTTACTTAAATTAAAACCAAGCATGCTGCTCGGTTTGAATATTCAGTACTTGTGCCATGTATTTCGATAGAAATCGCTATATGTAGATTAAAATCGTATCGTGATTGTTATCAATACATAAGAATACTCGCGCGCAGGCCTCTCAGAATTAAGAAAGTCCTAAAACGTGTCATCGCGTCATCTTGTTTAATCCAAGAAGAGAGGATATTCGGTTTTCGTGTAGAATATACACGTTATTTTGTGAAGTAAATTTGGTACCTAGTTGGACCCATGGACCATTTATGGGAATATAACCATGAGTGGTAGCTTTGCACATGTGCCGAGATCACGTTTATGACCGAATAAGTAGTTTAATTTGAAACAAATAACTTAGCTTGGGTCACTGATATAATTAACTCATTTGCCTTGCATCCTTTTAGCGCATTTTCTCATTTGTGGAAAAAATGCACTATTGTGCTCGTCATGTCCGTCCGTCCGTCTGTCCGTCTGCTTGTCCATCTGTCCGTCCGTGACTTCACGTTTCCGTCGACGAGAAAATACGCTCTCTGTCACTCACTGCAATGAGTACTGAGTTATATTTTTAATGGCTGTGCAAGATAAAAACAATTGCCTGGAAGACATCTTTTTCAAGAACTGCGTAAGGTAAAAACAATTGCCTATTACTTTTTTTAACAATTGTGTAAGTGAAAAAATCGCCTGATCGGCATCTTTTTGGCGCATTTCCTCCTTTATTGAAAAAGGTCCTATTATGCTCCGTCGTCCGTGGCGTGCTCCGTGGAAAAGGCGTCCGTCCGTGAGAAAATGTGCTCTCTGTCACTCACGTCGGTGAGTAGGGCAATATGGGGCAGCGCGCCCCCACCCCCCCTTTTTTTACACTAAAGTTTTGATGAAGTTTTAATTGATACAAGGTGGTTCTTTGTTTTGTTTAGAGGTACAACTAATGAGGAATGTATGATGTGAATTATAGACGCCTATGGAGTTATTCAATTTTTAATGAAACACTATTTTGTAAAAAGTGTCAAAATGGGCCCATTGCCCCACCCCTGGGGCAATGGGCCCATGGGCTTGAGGCAAGGCGCCCACCCTTTATTGGTTCCTTTACCACAATTGCATACTTTTCGTTTAAAAATGATATATAACAACACTTTACAGTTAAAAAATAAGATAAATGTGACAAAAATATGGCATTCATTCATTTCAAAAATCATATCCTTAACTTGAAAAAATATACTCTTGGCTTAAAGAAATCTATCATTGACGTGAAGAAAAATATTTCATTGCCATTAAAATATATATCCTTGACTTGTATAACACATCCTTGCGATAAAAAATTCGTCCTTGACGTGAAAAAATTTATCCTTGACTAGAAAAAATATATTTAGTTGATCAGAAAAAAACTTCGTTCCAGTTTCGTCCATAATCCAGATACTATGTGCAGAGAATTCGTACCTAATCGTGATTTCAGCCAACACCATAAAAACTCATCAACTTTTGGCTCATTGGTGTTGACTGAAATCAACTTTTGGCAAGGCAAGAGGCAATAACTCGATAAGAGGTCATAAATACGCATAACTATAAACTAAACCTGCTGCTTTGAGGCAGCAAATCAAAAAAATCATGCAATATGAAGTGTAATTTGTTATTCAAAAAGCTAGTCATAGTTTTGAAAAGGTCATTGAGACAAATCTAATGATGTATAACACAAGACTTCATCATGGGCGCTTTGCCCCTTGACACGCTTGGGCCCGTTGTCCCACTAGGTATCATTTCAATTTATATCGTGTCAACATTTTATTTTAAAAGCTTATAGTCTAAACTTGATCTCAAAATTATCCCTATGAATATTACTTTCAAAATATAATTCAAAGTAATTTCAAAAGCTTCATCCACAGTAATCGAAAACAGTTTTATTTAGCAGCAAAAAATTTTTATCTTGGCTAAAACAGTTATTCACAAATAACTTAATAACGCAAACACCCAGCAAAACGCAAATCCGTACACTTCATCCCAGTGAAACTGTCGATCGGCGGTAGAGAACACGGACCAATATCTGCCATACTTAGCGAGACACCCGCTATGGGACCATGACCCTCAACGTGGGCTCGCTGCCCCATGTTACCCTACTGATCTAATTTTTTAAGTACTGTGCAAGGTAAAAACAATCACCTGGTAGTTATATTTTATAAGAACTGTATAACTGTATAGAAAAAGAACTGTATAACTGTATAAACGGCTTGCACGATTTGCATTGTTTTGAAGAACCGTGTCTCTGATAAATTTACACAGGTACAGCCTTCGTAATTCAGCTTAATTTCCCGCGTTAACTCCATCTGTCGTTTGAATCTCTCATTCGTTCACGTGACATTCTGTTGTTCAATGAATCTTTGTTCTGCCTCTGTGCACATCGCTTCAGCAACGCATCCATCGGTTGTCTTGTAACCGTATAAGAGACTAATTTCTTGTCAGTATATTATCAGTAAAATGTAAGTTTTGAAATTTCTCCAAACAAACCAAATTGGTGCCAAGAGTTGAAAAATTCCCAAATATCACTGACTTGATTAGTGGAGTGCCACTCGTAAACAGAAGCTTGTAAGTCAAGACGCACTTTGGAAGGTGCCTTAACAGACTCTCACGTCAAGGCCCTACTTGCAAGGTACTCCCACAGACTAATACGTCAAGGCCCTACTTGCTAGGTATTCCTACGAGCTCTTACATCAAGGAGCTCCATGCAATGTGCTCCCCCAGACTCACAGATGCCGGAGGAGCTGCTGCTCGTGGAGCCGCGGGAGTTGCTGGAGCGCACCTCCATGGCGCTGTCGAGGGGAGTTTCGCGTCCTCACACGTGGCGTTGCTGGCAAGCTTCCCTCGTGGCCATCGGGCACACAGACCCCACAACTGCTGCTCGCTGACGCTGGATGCTCGTCGTAAGCATCAGATGATGAAACGCATTTGCTAAAACTACTTATTAGATTCCAGGGTTTCAAATGGATATCTATTTGTCTCTTGAGATTAAAATAGCATTCAGGCTGTATATAGTTAAAATTAAAGTAGCAGATAGATGGAATAAATTACTTGCTTGATTAATAAAAACTTATATTACTTTTCCTTACACTGCGCGCATTTCACTTTCGGCACCGTCGCACATTAAAACATCAACAAATCAAGATTTCCACCTGACGAAGAGGGACAAGTGCAGCTTCGGAAATAGAAGTGATGGGCAAGTCACGAAAGCAGAAACACGACAAGAGGTAGCGACCAGCGGAGTAGACAGACAGAAGCATGTCATCCGTCAGACATGTATGACATCAGACGAGCTGAAACGACTTGATCCCTCAAGAGCGACCTGAAAAATAAAATATGCAAATTAGTGAGGTATTACAAAACCATTTACTACTTACACAACCACAGAATGTCTATACGATTCATGAGTTTTACCTATAGTATTGCTCAGTTAACTAGTCAAACAGAACTTGTTCAAAACTCTGAAGCCGAGATCATTGATTCCTGTCAATTTGTAACCAAATATTACTTAATGAATTTTTATTATCATCTTGCACAGTGCGCGCTAATAAATAATTATTCAGTTAGTAATGGTTAACATGATAGAAAATTCATTAAAAAAAGTTCACCATTTTCATTTTGTCACAAGAAAAATTGATGCAATTATTTTATTTTTCGTTTGATCTTTAGAACTTAAATTAAATATAGTACAATAAAATTCAGTTAATTGTCGTTAGTACTTGTGCGGTGCAGAAATTTACTGAACGGGTACGCAACTACATGATTTTGCAGGCAAAATAATAAAGATTCATTTTACTTTGCCTATGATGAGTTCGTGTTTTTATAAACTTAATTTATATTAAGTTTATAAGTTTAACCCCAGATTACTCAAAGAGTTAGCAACTGTCCTAGCCGGCCCTCTGACGTCACTTTTTCGAAAAACTTTGAACGAAGGAATGTTGCCGGCTGACTGGAAAGAAGCTCAAGTGACACCATTGTTCAAAAAAGAAAAGTTCAAGAATCGGCAACAGGCCATGGGCCTATGTCTTCAACGCCGACACTTCTATTCTATTCTATTCTAATAACAAATAAACAAACACCCAATTTTGATTAGTTTACCAAAGATTGCTGTTTTCTGAGTAAAGTATTTGTAGAATGCTTATTTTAGATGGCAAACTACTCTATTTTTCAGCACGTCATCAATTAATCATTGTTCGATCTTTAAATATTGGCATTTCACACGCATGTAAAATTATACTATCTTTGAAAATGAAATATGTGCGTTTCATTTGTACACATTTAAAAATTATTCAGAAAAACGGACTGTAAATTGCAACGATTATAAATATAAGGGCAATGAAGGGCAATAATATGGCGATTAAATAAAAAAAATGGTGTAGATTGAGAAAAATAAATAATTCAGAGGATGTCCAATGAATATTATATGATTTAGTGAGCTGAGTAGTATACAAAAGCTGTAAAACTTGTGACGGCAAGTAGTTTGGGGAAGCAGTCAAGCGTGGGAGTGGCAAGAAGTGGCCTTGTGCAGCAATATATTTTGCGATAACACTGAGGGATGAAAAAAGTTAATGAACGCAACACTAAATGGAAATGAAAAGTTAATGAACGCAATGTTTAATATGAACGATATATAGTATGAGGGCAATAATAAAAGCTGGAAGTGCATTATTGACGTTTGTCAATGCTGTTTGAGGAACCAAAAGTGTTACGAGTAAGCATAATAAGTCTAGCGGTGAATCGAAATAAAAATGACCAAGCTAAAAAGATCAAGCTAGATTTGACTGGTTTTTGCGGTTGTACTGGAAATTTTGCGGTTGTATACAATTCCAGTACAATTACATACAATTTATGTGTCTGTACGATTTTAGTATAAGTTGATGTTGATTGATTTGTAGGATTTGAATGGAAATCAGCCGCAAAACGCTACATTTCCAGTGACTGGTAATAGTCTTTCTGTGGCAGCGAAGTGCAATCATAGCTCAGTTGCAATTCATGCACAGAATTGATTACAATGCAATCAATGTTTACAGGATGTGCTTCGTAGGAGCAGATGAGAAATGGCAAATGCTCGCCATGTCCGTCCGTCCGCCTGTCTGTCTGTCTGTCCGTCTGTCCGTGACCTCAAGTTTTCGTCGACGTGAAAATGCGCTCTCTGTCACTCACTGCAGTGAGTACTGAGTTATATTTTTTATTACAACGCTTCTCTTTAACTTCACTTCTTGTTTGTCTGTCTGTCTGTCTGCTACAAATCTTGTAATCGAAATTTAACACACTTCTACTTATCCTATCGATCTGAAATTTTGCACACTTGTGTAAAGTTGGAGACAATGCAAGAATCAAATGACAAAATAAATGATTTTAAAATTAAATTTTTTTTAATATCAAAAAAAATTAAAAAATAATTTTGTCAGCTACAAATCTTATAACTGATATTTGACACATTTTTACCTCTCCAATTAATCTGAAATTTTGCACACTTGTGTGAAGTCAGAGGCAATGCATGAATCAATTGACAGAATAAACAATTTTTAAAATATATATATATATATATATTAAAAAATGGAAAAATTAATTTTTGTAATATTCGAAAATAAAATGAGAAATTAATTGTACATCTTTTAATATTGGAGACACTCTATTCTTTAGAATTGTTGTCTTTAAAAAGTAATTTTTAAACGTATATTATTCCTCATCAGTCTCGCAAAGCTTCTTAATATCCAAAACAAAATGTTATAATGGTGAAAAACTTCGTTCCAGACCCTATTTTTTCTTTTGTCTCTAACTTTTCTCTCGCCTTGTTCCGTTGTTCTGGTTCGTTTCGAGAAAATCATTCCCAGACGCAGGAGTCTCACGCAGTGTATTTCTAATCGGAGCATCAAATCTCAAATTAAAACATTTCCATATCTGATAGCCTGCTCATTTTCAGCGAGATTTTAGATATATTATAACTTATACAAGTTTAACAAATATCCAATTTGCATCAGTGTTTGCTCACATCTGCGCCCAATAATGTGAAGGTGACACATGTGCATGAAAAAATTAATTTCGAGTAGCCCACTCCGTACAATTTCGCATGAGCAGCGTACGTGTTAAAGAATTTTTTTGATTTATGAATAATAATTGCGTTCTGTAGCACCTACATCTCACAAGACTGCGCTCAGGTCTTGGTATGAGTTGCGGAAACACAGCTCTTGTTCTGTATTCGGGAGGCGGCACCTAGTTTAATACATATCATTACTCAAATTTTGAGACTAAACAATCGATTGCATAGACTCTCAAAGACATTTTGCAATGCCCAATAGAAACGAGCTAGTCAACTAACTGGACCTAATCAGTGACCTCATGAACGAGTTTTTATTAGTCGAGTTTTGCTGCCGGAGGCCCAATGTTGTGTTATACGGACTGTAGGAAACTGCGGATAAAAACGCTATAGAATTTTATTACCAAATGTAAATTTTACTAACAAACAAGTTACATAATTTATCAAGTAACTCAATTTTAACCGTCGATCATTTTATTCCAATTTCTTATAAGATTGCGAAACTCAGATAAGCCTCGCTGGTAAAGCAAATGATATGTGAAATTATTTATATTTATCGTTAGTTGATACTCTTTTTGATGTGTGTTTGAAGCCAGGTGCTGTAAATACAGCATATTTACATTACCTATATCGTGTCGAGATGTTTCATGGACCTTAAATTTTATTAATATGAGTGATGCAATCAATAAGTATTATAAAACGGGAAGATTTGCAGGGAGTTTTTCTTTATATATCAGGGAAAACTGCAGGGTTTGCAGTTTTTTTTTGTCTTATCTAGTAGATTTAATTTAGTTAAAAACATATATATTCAATTTATTTAGACGTCTGGAACGGGAGCTACATGAGAAGTCACGGGAGCTACATTCTTTTAAACGTATCTTGCTCTCATAAACATTACTTTAGTTTGGAAATTTGCAACGGGATTCTGGAATCCCATATTATCTATTCCCGGCGAAGCTGGGTTGGCACCTCGATCGAATATTACACATATGTTAAATGGAAGAATTAAAAAAGCATTTCATTGTAGTTTATGAGGATAATGAAAGAAAGAATGAGAGTAGGAGCAACGTAGCCTAACAAGTATAAAGCATTATTTTTAAGTTAGTTGTGTGTTTTTCGTGAACAACGTATTGTACTCGTACAAACTTAATACGTTGTTCAGCCGCACGGTATTTAACTGACTTGCAATTCAAAGGAAACGAAAATAATTTCAATACTTACTATCGAATACTTATTTTTCTCATCTGTTTATGAATGAACGATTCTTTGGCCATTCGCTACAGCTAGTTGGCTGACGTCCTCGAACATCTAAATTTACTTGGAAGCTTCATCGTCGAAATTTCGGACGCTAAAACCGATTTCATTGGCGCTAGATGCCTAGTATTGCCAATAAATTGCGATGACGATTGCTAAAACATTAGTGCAATGGATCGAAAATTTTCACACATATTTTTAGATTTTCAAACGATAATTCCCTAGGACAGGAAAAATGTGGTAGAATCGCTGCCCGCAACGTCTGCAGTTAAATACGCCAACACCCAGATATTTTTTGTACACCGTAAAAATGTATTTTTCGTTTCAAAATGATCATTATTGAACTCTTAACGTCAGTCCGTCGTTACTAGGAATATTTTATGCATCGCAGCACCGCCAATTTTGAAGTAATTCTTAATGTAATAGAGGGCAAATTTTTTGCTTCGACAACAGTGAATGAAAACTATTGGGGACAAGTTGTGACTTCAGATCACTGACAGTATGATTATTTGGATACAAATTTTACAGAAATTACGATAAACATTAATTTTTATAGTCTAATTTAAGCATGAAGTTACATCTTCTGCTTTATAACAAAATTTTAATCTTTACGAGCGTTTAATATTGGAGATATCAAGCATCAAGCATCTTAATTTGCACATGTGCTCAGCTCTTCTGGCATTTGTGGCATTTGCTGATTTTCAATTTGCATTTTCGTCGTAGCTGGTCACGCCATTTTTATAATTACATATTTCTTATACGTACTTGTAATTCAGGATAGTCATTCCGGAAATTCGTCTTAAGTTATTCCTCCAACGAAACCCACAACTATAGGAGAGAAAACGTTTTGTTTGGATTGGTCGGTCGGTTCCTTCAACCAATTCATGAATTAAACGTGTTAATGCTGAGTGATATTAACAAATTTTGTGATATGATAATTCGATCATTATTTGTAATTATTTCTTATAGAGGTCAAATCAATTATATTTCATAAATACCAAGCGTCAGTTATCACTGTCAACCTATTA